GACTATAGTAATAAAGATACTCGAACTAAACTTCTTCGTTACCTACCTATTATTACTTATTCTATTATAGTCGTGGTCTAGTCTTATTGTTAGTTCTTTTCTATATATATATATATATATATATATATATATATGGAAAAGCCTTTCCAATGCTTATAGAAAAAATAAACAATGATTTCGCCTACCCTCATCACCATCCAAAGTTCATCGCACGGTCACGATTGTTTAGTAGCGTTTTATTTTTTATTTTCTTTCTAAAAATCGAAATGACCTAAAATTTAGAAGGTGTGTAAATCTTAGTGATACACACCAAATAAAAATATAAAAAAAATAATTCATGAAAAAACATTGATCAAAATACTCCCAAACCCTTTTAGAGGTATTTTAGTCAATTATTTTAATGTAAAATATGCTTGTGATATTTTTCGTAGATTTTTCTATTTTTGATAAACGCATGTTCCAAATAATTATGAATGTCTTTTGTACTCCTTTATCCGAGTGTTCTCTTTAATCCATCTCTCATCTTTTGCTGAGCATTTAGAAGGAAAGAGAGTAAAAGAAAGATTTAAATAAAAATATATGAATCGCTTAAAGTTTAGAAAACTTAAACAATTAGTTCTTCCTCCAAAAGAGAAGCAATGACCTCAAAATTTTAAAAATAAAAATATATGAATCACTAAAAGCCTAGAAAAATTAAACAATTAGTTTTTCCACAAAAAGAGAAGCAATGACCCCATGAAGTCTTTTCTTTCCTATTCTACTATTCTCATTGGTGAGCTACACTAGTAGGCTAAGAGGGAAACCTGGTGGCATATGGTGAATACAAATCTAAAAGTAAATAAAATTAAAAATGAAGGTTAGTAAGACTATAAATATACTTGATATTCAAAATAAAGGACAGTCCCCATATTATCAGCAAAACACGACTATACTCAAAGCTTTACTTTTGTTTAAGGGTAGGATGTGATTCAAAAATTGGATGGAGGGTTCTAAATGTCAGCACCTCACCAATCAATCAAATCCCCAAATAGTGAAAGGTTCTTGTACCATTTATGTCCATGCTCATCTCATGTTCTGGTTTTTCACTTTCGAGCCGTCGAAAGCTAATCTTAAGTGATCGTCTTCGTTTTGGGGGTTACTTGACTTAGGTTAGAATTTCAGAGGCTAATCTTAAGTGATCGTCTTCGTTTTGGGGGCTAATCTATATTTGTTTTGAAAGACACTTTACCGTAGTAACACAATTGTCATCTAATAAAAGTAAGAGAAAGTATATAATGTGGTCATAATTAATCTTGACCATTAGATGTGAAATTGAGTGGCTGCATTTATTTCGTTGACCAAACTCAAAATTCTAAAAATTTTTTCGAACTTTGTAACAAACCCAAACTATCAGATGTCACATTGAATGATTATAAATAATTGTGAACTCCTTGTATTAAAGGTAAATGGTTTCATACAATCCCTAAAAGTAACTATTTTACCTTGACTTCTACCCCATATTTCTTTCTTCCCCTATTCTTTTCAAGTTTGATGAAAATGGATGAAGTCACTTTTTTTATTTGAGGAATGATATTTCTTTAAACAATATTCATACATATCACGTGTTATATCCTGCATGATTGCGAAGCTTACAACTTCATCTGTTTTAGGGAAATGAAGGGGCGGATGCCTCAATATAACATCCCATCCTCCATTCCCAATGTTAAAATATTGAGAAAAAAACCAAAAAAAAAGAAAGAAAGAAAGAAGGCTTCATGGGAAAATGACTGTATAAAGATCCTCCCTTTGGTATGAAAGCAGGAGGCCCATTGCTTGGGGGGCAGTCACCAAGTTGGAGGGAAGAAAGGAAGTGCACCTTGGTCTTCATCCCACACCTACATAACAATTTGAGAAGAGAGAGAGAGAGGAATAGTTGAGGAGAGAGAAGAAGGGTCTATAGACAAGTGGGTGGTATTTGTAATCCGTAGGAGTCTCCAACCACATTGGAACAAAAGGAAGAAGAAGATTGGGCTTCACCCTTGTACTTGAGGTTGATATTTTTGAGTTTGAGATTACGACATGGCAAATTTTTGCTGCACAACAAATTGACAGCAATCATGGAGGCAGAAGTACCCCTGATATCCTTGAACGTTATATTCTCTATCTTCACTCGAGAAGGTGGCTGTCAAACAAAATAGGGCGAGGAAACCATGAGAGAAAGAGAGAGATATGGTTCAAAGAAGAGAAAATAGTGGCAGGGAGATTGATCTACAGGGAAAGCAATGCTACATTAAAAGCCATTAGCCAAAGAGGGTTCAAGATTGAATGAAGCAACTGTGGCATGGTTGTCCCCCTGATTTTTTAATTCCTTACATCAAGAGGGCTTAAGCAGTTCAATTTTGGTAATCAATAGACTTTGATCTAAGTGCGGTGCTATTAGCATTTTCTATAGAGAAAATTTATCTAAATACCTATAAGAGATGAATGATTTAACATTCTATTGCACATTTGCAACTATTCCAACAAGATTGTGTTCTTTTATATGTATTTTGAAATTAAATTCAAAATCATGGGTAAAGTAATAAAATGTTGATATCTCATAGATAAATTGATAACTTCGCCATTTTTATATATGTTCATGAAATAGTAAAAATTCTAACTGTGAAAAATAAAAAAGTATAATAAAAAGAATGGGGAAGATGGGTGTTCTCAAACAAGGAGGAAAACAAAGGTTTCCAAGTAGTAGAGAGGGCTAGTTATACAAAAAATAGCTGTATAGAGAGAGAGATAAGGGGTGTTGGTGTTGGTGGTTGTCATCTTGGATCTGCATGATGAGTGAGGGCAGTACTCTTGGTCTATGATGATCGGGTTGAGCCCGTTATTCATAATGACGTCATTGAATGTGAAATTTGTAGCTGAGCTGCTAGTGGAGCCCGGCCAGGTCTTGATCCTCATGCCATTGGTGGTGTTAGAGATGGTACAATTTCTCACCTTTAGCCCGCTCACATCCTCCTCGTTCTGGTATTTGCCTAAACTGCCAACAGTGTAAAGGTACATTGGTTTTAGTTTAATGTCTCATCTCCCAATTCTTTGAATTTAGTTCTATTGACTCCTAACACCAATGGGCTCTATTTTAACAACTGCCTAGTTTAACAATCGCCTAGTTTAACAACCGCTCATTATGGCAAAGATGAGGCAAGATATATTATCATCCGAGCTTTATCTCAACTATTTGGGATCCGCTACACAAATTCAAATAAAGCTTTAACCTGAAAATTTGAAACATACGAAAGAGAGTATGAACACCTTATGCCATGTCCTGGTCCACAAAAAATGTTCTTAATGAATATGTCATGGCTACCGGGGCCAATTGAGATGCAATCATCACCGGTTCCAATTTGGGAGCGAGCAATTTTGATTCCAGTGGAAGAACTAATGTGGATGCCATCGGTATTTGGGCTATTGGCTCGGGCAGATATGCGGAGGTGATGGGCCTTCACATTCTTGCAACCATGCATCGCTATGTGAAAGAACTTGCTATCAATCGAAGAAATCCTCCTCAATGTCATGTTTGTCATAGAGTAAAACTTGATTGACTGCAATAGATACATAGATTGTTGGTCACTTAGTAACGTGCTTTTGTAAATTTTCCATAAAAACAAAATAATAGTCATTTGTTGCAGGGAAAAAAGGGAGTGGACACTACACTAAGCATGAGTATTAATGTTCATATTAGTGAGTCGAATTCAATGTATGCCGTCCGTGCTCCTCCAAAGGTAGTGGAGTTGAGTAACGTCCGCTCTTGTTAGAACAACAGGTATACGTGGCTAATGGATATTGGTCTAAGTGCCCCCGGATTGATTTCAAGTATGGAGTATTTTTCTCTTGTGCCAAATGTTTCATGTTTTGTGGAAACATTGTCATCATATCTGAATGAGAGAGGGTAGAAAAATTAAAGAGAAAGTAATGTAAATATCTGTTATTTTTCGGGATGTTGAAAAAGTGTCTCAAAACATTCAAATTTTATGAAGATGCCTCTTTTTCCAACTTATTAATTTTTTCTAAAAGGCCCTTAACTTTGATACTTAGAATATGAACTATGTTTGCTGCCTTGCAATTGCAAAAATAATATTCGATATTGTGAGTACCAAACATTATCTTGGCTTATTGTCTTGTTCGGCACTTTTAATACCTAATATAATATTAGTTTCTACAAAAAAACTAGTTTGGTGAAGTTGGTACCGAATATATTCTTCTATTTTTCTTACAGAATCTTAGTCAAGTTTGGCAGTTAAAATACCGAATTGGTTTCTATTTGAAAAAAAATTATTTGGTACCAATAGTTTTGAACTTGATTTTATAAGAGAAAGAACAAGAACATATTCAATATTGGCAGTACCGAACTAGTATTTGTTTTTGTTTTTTTTTTAAAGATTTTGTTCGGTACTAAGAGTACCAAGCAATGCATTAAGCTAAGACAATGTTTGGTCTTTGTAGTATCAAACAACATTTTTGCAATTTCGAGGTTACAACCTAAGTACGGTACTCCAAGCACCGAACTGAAAGGCATTTCTTGAAAAAATGTGGAAAAAAAGAGACATCTTTATAAAATTCAAAAATTTCTAAATATTTTTCAATATCCTTAAAATAAAGAATATTTACTTAATTTCCCAAAAGTAAAATTGTTGTCTTCAATATTAAAGTGTTGGACTCATTGGGGTCATATCTTCTTTCTAGGGGCCGTACTCTCCTCTCCACACCATCCGCCATTTCAATATTCACTGAACCTTCTAATTATGGGCTCTTCATAGTCCCCTCTTAAAGATCATTCGGTGCCAGGTAATGGGGTCGGGGCGCTCGTGGCTAGGAGGATTGGTGCCTCAACATAACGTGCTAGGCTTCATTTCCAAAACCGAGCTCGAGTCGTCCAGAGTTGGATGTCCAACTTAGGGATATTAAAAAAAAAAATAATTTTTTTTTTTTTTTTATAGGAATTGATTTGTTATATGTTTTTCTATATTTTTTATCACTTTGGCAAATATGGGAAAGTGTTTTAGCCATGAATACTATATTTACATTTTCCCTTCTTTTGGATTATTTAAAAACTCCCCCTAATCACAAGTTGAATTTTTAAAATCTTTTTTTAACTACTTTTATTAACATCATTTTGAAGTGTTTTGCTTAATCTTACTTTAATATATTTTTTTATTTTTTATAATTTATTAACATCTTTTTGGTTGCTACGGTACTCAGCATTAATCAGCCGAGATACTCGGACATGGTCCGAGTAACCAGGACCGATTATTTGGCCGTTGCACTTTCTAACACTGCCATAAACCCCCACATAAAAAAAAAAAACTCTGTACTATGCCGTCACAATGCTCACTAAGGAACTGAGACTCTATTTCTGAATACCGTAGGTAGGTGCTTGCAATTGGCATTACTAGGACAAGAATTGAGATGCCACACTGAACGGCCCTGTCCATCGAATGTCCGACAGCCGGTGACCGTGAGGTTGTCAATCGATCAAAAAACGATCCATTTGTCGGACAGATATTTGCTCATGTCAATGGTTGCCTTCACTAGGCCCTTCACCTGCACCACTATGGGTGATGCATTTGGACATTGGCCCTCAAACTCGTCAGGCCCAACCAAGAAGCTCCCTTCGGGTATCACCATCCTCGATCTCCCCTTCCATGCACATGCATCCTTCCATGCTCCCAAGAAAGCCTGCAATCATACACAGATTCGGTTCAATAGTTCATTACGAGCTTTGCCAACTTTTTGATTCAGTAGTTTATTATGATCTTTTCTTCCATGAACCAAAGCTCTGTTCAAGCAAAAGCATATATCAACTCATCTCTTTCTCACATACACACACCTGCGCGGTATCGGATTTGCCATCGGCAACTGCACCATACTCCTTGACATTGAAAACTCCATGGGGCGGGGATTTTGCTACGGCAGCTGAGGCGGCCGCCCCACATGCAAATGCAAAGATCCAGCACCATATTCTCATGTATAGGCATCCTATTATCCTATGTCTTCTCTATATCATAAATGAGAAGGATTCCTCCTGTTGTATTTTGCTCTCTAAAATACAGCATACTTATTTATAGATCCATGGTTTTGCTTTTGCACCAACCAAATCTCTCGCAACGAACCCACACACGTGGTCGGAGCTCACTTTGTAAGCTTAAAACACGTCCTTTTTTTGAGTGTGGTTTGGATAAGGTTGCAACCTTAAACGATTCAATTAAAGTGCGCCAACAAATTTTATCATAACATGTAATTTTGGTTAAACGATTCAATTAAGGCGTGCCACCAAATTTTATCATAACATGTAATTTTGGTGCAAAAAATTCGTAGGATTATCTGAAAATCTACTTTCATCTGTTGTAAAATTTTGAATTCCAAATATGGTTCAAATCAAGTAGATTTATGAACATATGTAAATCTTGAAAATAGACGGTCTAGATAATGTATTGCAAGATGCATTATTTATAGGACTCAATTTTTTTTTATAATAGTCATACATCTCGATGTTGAGATGATCATACATCTCGATGTTGAGATGATCAAGTAGAGCATATTTAACATTAAAACAACCTTTTATGGTGGATTTTTGAGGTGTATCATAGTTCTACATTTAAGGTTGCCACCTTATATAAGCTTTTTCCTTTCTCTTTTTTTATTTATTTTATTCATTTTTTTAATTTTTGGTTTTTTAATTTTTTTATTTTGGGTACAAACTAAACAATTAACAAAAGTAACCCCCTCTATCCCATCTTATTCTATTCTTGCCATTTGGTGTAGCTTCCTCCTATCCTGTAAATTTCAACTGCCTAACCTCATTTAAATCCCACAATGCTCTTTGAATGCTAGCCGTTAATTATAGCAATCAGCATACGGGATTTTTGTTTTCTTGTTAAATTAAAAATAAAAACATAAAGCTGAAATTGGTAAACCCAATGGCCAGGAGTTATAATTGTATCCATTAGTACTCACCAATGGTTTAAAAAACGGATCGGTGACCCAGATCGGGCTTCCAAAAAACTGATCCGGATCGGCGAATCGGCGATCCGGATTGGGAATCGGGTGAATCGGTCAGAATAAAGCTTCAAAAAAATCCGAAAAAATTATTAAAATTCATTATAAATATTGTTTTTTAGGAATTCAATAAGAAATGAGGGTACTCCATTAAGAATTTTCATGTTTTTGAATGAATATGCGAATATTGATATATTCTTTCCCTGCATGAACCGCCATTCAGCATTTAATTTACATCACACAAACGGATAAACATAGAATTATCATGGAATAAGTATATCAACATACATGGACTACAATAAAGCATAAAATTAGTAACATACGATCTAAAAATAAAATGGTAGACGTCGTTGTTGTTCTTCTTGGTCACGCTGGTGCCATTGATTGAATTCGTTTGACAATTCATTGATTCGATCTAAAAACGAATCATCGATATTAGCGGGCGTCTGACTATTCCCAAATCCCTGAGTGTTAGTGTTTTGTTGTGTTCCCAATCCAAAATCCCCGAAGCTTGTCCATCCTTCATGCTCACCTGCACTGTCGTGCCCATCCCTACACTGTTGCTGTTGGGACTCGATATGTGAATAATATGACTGGGATAGGGTGGCCTCAAAATCATCATCTCTCTCATTTTCTCTTAGACCCTTTTCCCACTCTCCCTCATTACGTGCAATATCACCGACGTATTGTGGATACATTAGCTGGCTGCTTCCTCTTTCATGCTGCTCATCACTTTCTTCAATATCTTCATCACCGATAGCCTCAAGGAATGCTGTCTTGTGCAACACTGGCTCCTCCTCTTCTACTACCCATTGGTCTGCTGTGTCTGTGACAAATATTGTGTCTAAGTCTATCGGCCCATAGTCTTCAAGCTTCCTTCTTATTTGTCGCTCTTTGAGGTTTAAATTATAATGAACGTAGACTAGTTTATGAAGCTTCTCAGAAGCGAGTCGATTCCTCCTAATAGTGTGCAACCATTGGAACGTACTCCAGTTGCGCTCACAGCCAGTAGCAGAACATGTCTGGGAGAGCACCTTGATTGCTATCCTCTTTAGGTGAGGTGCATCAGTACCATATATCTCCCACCATTCAGCTGGATTAAAATGTAAAAAGCATTGTAAGGGCAAGAATAATTCATAAGATTAAATATATGAATGAACGAAATATTAGCGAGGGGATAACCTGGATCCATCATAGTTGGAGAATTTCTGGCAAGTCTAGTTCCGAAGGATCCTATAGCATCCCTATACATAGCAAGCTAAAACAAATATATTACGTTTTAGTGCATTATTCCTCACAAATATAATACCTCAATGAAGTTTTTACCTAAACATTAAATAATACCTCTTGTATTGCTGCTACTTGGTTTCGATGGCTTCTCTCCAACCTTGCAAT